CTCCAGCTGTGGCCTGACCAGCGTCGCATAGAGGGGGAGGATCACCTCCTTGGCTCTACTTAAGATGCACCTGTGGATGCACAACAAGGTCCGGTTAGCCCTGCCAACCGTGACCTCGCATTGTCGGCCCATGGATTCCTGAAACCTGCAAGGATACAGCCATTGAATCAATCACATCAAGGGTGGACTCCCAAAAATACACCACTGGGCAAAACCCCCAGTGACTGTGACTAACAGCTGTCATGCGCTACTCAAGACCCATGTGGGACAGTGACCTCCAGATTGGGCAGCCAAGATGATGCTGGGGGATCATGGAAGTCTGCCAAAAAGGGATAAGAAACAGTAAAGCGTGACCCTCAGGGGTGCCCTCTCATCCAGCACCTGACCTACCGAGACAGAAGGACAAGCAGGCGACCCTCTTCTGAATAAGACATTGCCTTGAAGGAAGCTGACCATTGACAACAGACTCCAGGGCTTTGGACAAATAGATATACTGACACCAGTGCTCTCACCATCACTACAGCAGCTACTATACTACATGGGGTTAAATGACATGGGTTTGAATGAGTGAGTGCATGTGCGTGTGCGCTAAGGTGACCGGTATGCCTCATAACTCAAAGTTTGCATTTATGATTTTATTGGTAACTTCACATCCCGTACCATAAATCAGAATTTATTATGATCCTGCGAGTTGGTCCTTTGTAGCCAACAATTCTTCCACTTCACTCGGCACTGGTGAGACCACAGCTCTGGGCACCGCACTTCAACAAGGATGTGGAAAAGCTCAAGAAAGTTCAAAGAAGAGCCACTTGTATGATCAGAGACTTGCAAGGCAAGCCATACAAGGAAGGGCTGAGGGACTTGGGTCTCTTCAGCCTAAAATAGAGAAGGCTGAGAGGGGACTTAGTAGTAGCTTACCACTGTATCAGGGGAATACATCAAGGGCTCAGGGAACAACTGTTCACCAGGGCTCCCTTGGAGAAAACCAGGAGTAATGGCCACAGACTCCTGGAAGGCTGTTTCAGGCTTAACGCTAGGAAAAACTTCACAGTTAGGGTGTCCAGACTGTGGAATAAACTCCCTCCAGAGGTGGTACAATCACCTACCCAAAGAATCTTCAAGAGGAGACTTGACGGTCACCTTGCTGGGGTCACCTGACCCTAGTAGTCTTTCCTGCCTAGTGCAGGGGGGCTGGACCTGATGACCTTGCATGGTCCCTTCCAGCCACTTGCAAGCCATGAATCTATTATATTTTTTTTTTCCAATTCAGGAGCTATCAAATTAATGTTGGGAAATCAAGTACAACATATTCTACTATAAGAACTGAAAATAATTTCATGCTAAAAAATATGAATGAATGTCAAGCTGTGATTAAAACAGATATCATTAAAAATAAAATGTTCACTTGTTAAAAAAAATATTGGCCATAATGATGGCCATTATTCACCAACCTGGATATATCCCATCCTGAACAGCATTTCCACAAATTGTTTTTGTTTGGCAGTCATAGAACCATGATGATATCCAATACCACGTTTTGCCAACAATCTCTGACGAGAAGCATGTCTCTGCCACCTTAGTCGTAAAAAGATATCCTTCAAGGTCTAGAAACGTACAAACAAGTTTAATATTTATCACAGTCATTTAAGCACTGCAGGTAAAAATGAGAAATCTATAACCTGATCATTTCTGCTGCACATTTTTTCTCCTTATTTTTCACTAATGTGCAGTACCTTTCATCCATATAATTCAAAAGTAGTCCAAAACTGCTGCTACTGGCTCAGGGACAAAAAGCTGGACACTGCAGTACCTAACTTTTAGGCACCTGGTCCCTGCAATTAATCAACCAAAATAAACTGGCTAGCTAGTAACTGGTAGTAGGTAGGATAACAAGTTTCCAAAAAGTGATGATCACATGCATCTCAACACTATGGGTGTCTGATGTTGTGTGCTATTGTTACAGTTCTTAAATGAACTCAACACAAGTAAACTGTCATCCTGAAATTTTGTCACTATTGTTGGCCATCTCAGAACTGTGGGACTATCTTTTCCCATCAGTCACTTTAACTCCTCAAGTCCAGAAATATTGCCTGAAGTGAAGCTATCCAAGAAAAAAGTTTATTGGCATGAGAATTGTTTTCCTGCCTTGTATATAAAGTAGATCAACTCCTTATTGCTAGAGTAACTCCCTCCCAAAACTCAGCAGGAGTGGCCCACCTTAAAAATAAAGTGACCTAGAACTTATGTACAAAGTATATGAAAATAGAATATTTCCTGAAAAGTTAATCACAGAATTATGATTCTCAGGCACATCAATCCTACATTAAAAGCATCTACAACACTGATTCTCAAAAGGAGTGGCATAGTACCCCAGAGTGCCATGAGATTCTTTCAAGGGTGCCACTGTGCCCAGCTATCTGTGGACTTCTGTTGCTGCCACCTTATCCCCAGGTAGCCCCTGCACTTGTCGCCCCATGCTCTAAGCAGCATGTTCCACCCCACCTTTGCCTCTTCCCGTGCTTTCAAAGCCAGCTCCTGAGCAATCAGGACTCAGGACTGATTCAAATGGACAGATGCTCCTTGGCCTGTCCCTCCCCCTCCCCCAGACCTGTGTGTCCAGTTGCCTACCCACAGTGCCCCTCTGATCCCCTAAGTGCCACCCACATAGCAGCTCCTTGTCACTGCTAGCTGGTTGTCCCCAGACTGTCCAATACAGTGGAGTTCAGGGGGAGACTAAGGGCAAAAAGTGGCCCAACCAAAGCCACATGTGCTGCTCAGAATGCAGGGTGGTTGACATGGGGGCGGATAAGGGAGAGGGGGCAGTGACGACCTGGAGCCATTGACAGGGAGCCAATGTGATGGGGCTGGGCAGAGCTGGCCAACAGCCTGAAAGGGTGAATATTCTGTTCTTTTCTCTATTCATTACTATATATTATTCATATTCTATTCTTAACTATATATTATTAGTTATATAATTACATTTGCATTATAATATTAATACTAAATTTATGTTTGTTTTTGAAATGTGATGCCACTGAATTCTGAAAAGTTATGGAGGGTTGCCTTTAGTCTGAAATGGTTGAGAACCACTGGTCTAAATCAAAAGCCAGCTATATTTTTAGACAGCGATTACTACTCACTTGTTCATCCACAGCTTTAGAATTAGCATAAGTAAACTCTGGAGGGATTTTAGTAAGGATTGCAAGTCTCTTCTCTATTTGTTCCTTTTCCTCCAAGGCAATTAGTATACTTTCTGCTTTCCTGGTGGTAGCCTGTCTTGCTGATTTACTGTATGGAATAAACATACAAAATTATTTAAAATTGTAATTCCAGTAGAGTTCTTAATTTACAGTACTCTTGGGGCAAGATTATGTTCCAGTTATTTGGTGCACATTGGTCCAGACTTAGACTCCTGACTTCCATTCTATTCTACCATACTTGGGTAGGTCCTACCTTGCTGCTTTCTTCCACAGAAAAATAGAAAAGTAGGGTGGGTGGGAAGGGACCTTTGGTCATCTAGTTCAATTCCCCGTTACAGGTAGGATCATCCCTATCCAAACCATCCTATACAAATCCAATGTCTAGCCTATTAGTAAAACTACACAATCAACCCAGATAAAATCAGAAAACTTAATATGCTAACCCACCACAAGTAAAACAAGAGGACAGTAGCCAACAAGGGCTATTAAAATATGTTTGAGAGATCCAAGGAAGGGGGTCATGCCTCCCACAACAAAGGAAGGCAAACCCCCTCTCAGTCAGTACCAATTTGACCATGGGTAAAACCCTCTGGACAGGAACCTTTGAGTCAACAGGAGCATTAACATACAGAAAATCGCCAGCCTTGGCAGCAGCCAACCTCCAATGATTGTGAGGAAGGCAACAAAACAAAAAACAAAACAAAACAAAAAACAAAAAACCCCCCAAAAAATCCAAATCCCTGACATGGCAATAAGGGGGGAAAAATCCTTCCTAGCCCTATGTGGCAACCAGCAAAATCCAGAAGCTTGGGAAATACCCATAGCTACTCCTAGATTATTCCTGACTAATGCTTGCCCAACCTTTTCTTGAACACCTCCAGTGATGGAGATTCTACAACTTTCCTAGGCAGCTTGTTGTACTGCCTTACTGTTCTAATAGTAAAGAAAATTTTCCTGACACCCAGTCTGAACCTACTTTGCTGCAGCTTCAACCATCCTGCTCTCTACAGCGAGAGAGAAAAGGAGGTCTTCCCACTTCTTTATGGCAGCCCTTCAGACATTTGAAGACTGCTATCATATCCCCTTGAGTGCCTTTTCCACAAGCTGAACATATCTAACTCCTTTAACCTCCCCTCATATAGCTGACCCCAGGCTTTTATCATTTTTGTCACCCACTTCTGGACCCTCTCTCACTTCTGCATATCCTTTCTGAAATATGAAGCCCAAAACTGCACACAATACTCTAGATGAGGCCTAACTATTGCCAATTAAAGATGCACTATCTCCTCACATCTCGCACCTCATGCTTCTATTACTGCAGCCCAAAACCATTTGCCTTTTGTACAGCTGTGTCATACTACAGACTCATGTTGAGTCAGTCTATAATCCACCAGCTCTATGATCCAGTGTTGTCATCTAGCCTGGTGTCATCCATTTTGTAGTTGTGTTTTTGATTATTCTTCCTTGTATTTCTCAGCCCTGAACTTCATCCTGTTGGCTCCACTTCAGCTTTCCAATCTGTCACAGTCCTTCTGAATTGCAGTCCTGGCCTCCAATATGTCTGCGATCCTTCCCAGCTTAGTGTCATCTGCAAATTTATTCAAGAAGCACTCCATTCCAGCATCCAAGTAATTAATAAGCACACTGAACAGCACAGGACCCAGGTCAGATCCACATGGAACTCCACTTGAAGCCTCCTGCCATTCTGATTTGGATCCATTTAGAATTACCCTTTGCTTGTGGTTATCAAGCCACTTTAGTCTGAAATCCTCCTTTTTGAAATCTAGTGACTTCATGTTTTCCCAGTTTCAAGATCAAGAATTCTATCTTATTGTGATCACTTCCTTCCAAGTTTCCCATCACCTTCACATTCTCCATCACTTCTTCTCCCTTGGTCAGGACACAGTCCAAGATAAATGTATCCTCAACCTTCTGGAACAGAAAGTTGTCTCCACACAAGTTAGGAACTTGCTTGACATTTTACTAATGTTCTTTCAGCAGATGTCTGGAATACTGAAGTCTCCAATCAGTACCATAACATAACTTTAGGACAATGTTGAAACTTCCATAAAGAGTATCTTATCCACTTCTTCTTGACTTCGTGGCCTATAACAAATCTCCACCATTGTATTGGTGCTATATCCCTTACCTTTTATTTTCACCCGGATATATTCTGATCAGCTACCTTCTTCCATTTGAACCAGGGAACAAGTGTGTGCATTTTTGACACACAAGGCAATGCTACTACCTTTTCTCCCAACCCTGTGTAAGGCAATGTTATGTGTTGGTGCCAGGTCTGTTCATTTTCAAGAGACCCAAGCCCAAACTACAGGATTGTAGCTAAAAGCAAAAGGTCTCAAAAAGCCTGTGTCTGAGTGACTGTAGCATAGACCCTTGCAGATGCAATAGCTGGGTTAGTCCAGCAAAGAAAGCCATCTGTATTCTTAATTAGGCACAATCAAACAGAGCACAAGGCCTAAACAGAAACACTATAAGGAAGAACTATATATTGAGTATTTGGATTATTTGATATTGTAGCTTCATATTAAAATAATTAAAAGTTGTAATCACTTTAACCAAATATATTGAGTGTAATTTTTTCTATAACAAATGTATTTTTGTTAAAATTCTTAAATAAGTTGTAAAAACAAAGCATGTGACTACTCGCATGTAACAACATAAAAGTCAAACCATAAACTAAAGAGGAGAGGTAACAGACAAGTGTTACCAGTATTCTACAATAGAAAGGAAAAGGAAAAAGGAATCCTCCCTGCTTTCCCAAGGATTTAAATCTCAACTAACTGACACTTCCAGGCAGGGCTAGATTAATGCATAAGCAAACCAGACACATGCCTAGGGCCCTAAGTGAAGAAGGGACCCAGTTGTGATTATTTTACATATTATAATTACTGAGTAAAAAAAGTAATACATATTAAGTAGGGGTCCATGAGTTTGTTTGCCTAGAGCCCACTAAAGGGTTAATCCGGCCCTGCTTCCAGGTCTGCAAGGAATCTAGTTAAATCCAGTTCTAAAAGCTTTTGTGAAACAAAGAAATTTAAATAGAACTAATCAAGATTTAGTTATTAGAATATTGAACTGTGACTACCAGCCACCCATAATACCATGGCGGGGGGGATTTGGAGACCTCTATATGTTACCTGCTGAATCATTTGACAAAGCCCTTGCTGACAGTGACTGAAAGCCTGGCCAGCTTCACTTTGTGGCAATCAAGACCAGTCCCATACGATTATGCTTTATGCTTTGCTATTACTCTTGCTTTGTCAATTAATCAATAAACCTCTCATATTGGTTAGAATGAGTTTGAGTTTTTCACCTGTCCATCCTGTTTAAAGTTTAAACCTGTCTTTTCAAAACAGGGATGTAGCCCTCAGTGTTGACGTTCCAGCGGTAAGCATGTCTCACCAGGTCTCTGTGATACTATCAGATTATAGTTCTTTTCACAGGCTGTGACTTCTAGCTCATCTTGTTTGTTCCCCATACTTATTACATTTGTATATAAACATTGGGTGCATTTTGCCTTCCAACGCACTTGTTCCCCTTTTGCATCACTTTTTGCTGTCCTGTGGTTCTCTGGCCCTTTCCCAGAGTTGAGCTGCTTCTTCCAGTCCTTTCTCCTCTAGACTGTTTGTTATGTTGCTGAAGGGTTTTGTTCACCTTGTGGAAACTAGTTTAAATCCCTCCTTACTAGGTTGGCCAGACAATGCCCAAAGATCTCTTTCTGGTACTGGTTAGGTAAGAGGTCCTACAGGCTAGATGAGTGGCACAGAACCAGTCCACAGGCTGGAGGAATGGTGCATGAGTCTGTCCCAAAGGCAGAATCATGCCCACAGACCCCCCCCACCCACACACACACACACACACACACACACACACACACACACACACACACAAACATGCAGGATCCAGCACCCACTCCAACTGGTTCAGAACGGTGAAGAGAGTGGGTGGTGTCCACTCCGGCTGGATCAGAATGTGAGCCAAGTCAGAGCTCACTACCCCCCTATCCCTCTCCATATACTGAATCAAGCACCCACTCCGGTCAATCTTGGACTGCACCACATACAGTGCCTGATCCAGGGCAAGCACTGTACACAGCACCCACCCTGAAACAGCTGGAGCAGGCATATGTGGCTCAGGTGCCAGGACTGCCAGAGTGGGGGCCACGTGGCTCGTATCCTGGGTCTGACAATGTCCCAGGCTCACCAGAGCAAACACCATGCACAGTGCAGTCCCAGGCCAGCCAGAGCAGGCACCACAGGCACTGGATCCAGTATGCAGGGTGAGAGGTCCTGGACTAGCCCTGCATGGGTGCTGCATGCAGCACAGGTCCCAGCCCTGAGTCTGGTCCAGTGCCCGCTACATGCTGCCAGCCCCTCCCCACAGCAGCCCAGGGACTGCCCTGCCTGCCAGCAGTTTACCCTCTCCTCCCCACCACTGAACAGGCAGGTAAGATACAGGAGTACATGACATGGGAGTTTACTTAGCCTTATATTGAAGCACTGTTTTTAAAAACTCACTACTTCAATTTAGGACCCCTGTTTCATCTACACACCCCCACTGTTCTCTTCCTTCTTGGTGTAATGGTTTTAGAGCCCCTATCCCTAGGGCCCTGCATTTCCTGCTCTCTAGACCCTGCAGCCCTGCACTTCCTGATGAGTCTTTTTGATACTACCTGATAATGTTCTTACCTCTGCTTTTCCTCTGATGTTCTACCACGGAGTGCCTGAAAGTAGCTACTGACTTCAATCTGTTCCTATTGAATTCTGGGGACTGTCCTTCTAATGGTCATAAACTGCCACTTCTCTTTTTTCCTTTTAGCATCTCCAATGCCAGCCTCTCATGACCCCTATCCAGGAAACCTTCATTTGTCTTGATGCCATGCAGTATGGATACACAAGCTTCCCAGCCTTCAATCTTCGTCTCCAAGATAGGCACCAGCTTACACTTGGTACAAATTAAATGGTCTTGACCAAGAGCGCTCAACCTTTAGCCTGCAAGGCAGATCTGGCCTGTAGAACTATGTAATCCAGCCTGCAGACCTCTACACTATACCACAGTGTTCTGGCATTGGGTGCCCCTCCACCAAGCTCCAAGGCTGTCTTCACTGTGCTACTGCGTGTTTGTGTGGAACAGATTAGATTCTGCCTTTGGGAAAACTCTTTTCAGCAGATCTCAGCCACTCCAGCTCCAGACCAGACCTTGAAGCTCCAGCAGAAGAAACCTTACAGCTTATGGGATGTGTACACACTTCCATCTGCAAAGTATCCTCTTATTTACAGAATAGAAATGCCCGTGATTAGCAATTCCTCTGAAAAATCACCTTTCCCACAAGCCATCAGCAAGGCATATAAAATAATCAAACAAAAGATCTATTACACAAGGAAGATAGAGCATGCAGATAAATGCGACTATAATAGAGAAAAAAATCCAGGAAATAAACACAAAAAATATTTCTCTGTGTTTCTCTACCTTGAAACAACTTGAGACAGCACCTGCATACAGCAGTTTTTTTCACATTTCCCTCAGAGCGCAGCCCTGCTAACCCAACAGGTTAACATGGTTTTCCCAAGCTGGGGGTTTAGACGAGCTTCCTAAGCTGAAGGATTGCTAGACAAGGAGCCTTATCAAAAGATATCACTTATATACCTTATCTTTCTAATCAGCCCTTGGGGAGCATGTGTATTATGCAGATGATTTTCTTCCTCCAGAGAGGCTTCTCCATCTATCATGTTAGATGAGAGGCAAGGGCTAGGGACAGAAGTTACACATAAACAAGTTTAAGTGATCAGAAACTGTTTTAAACCTATAACAGAACAGAAGTTTGTGCACATAAGCCAATTTCAAAATGGCCAAAATATCTCAAAGTTTGAGATAAACCTGGTGGAATGTAGTATCAGATTTAACTGATTGAGATCAAACTGGTTTATGGAACTTCTGTCCCAGTCCCCTTCCTGGTTTATGTTAGAGTCCCTCAGCATCCCATCATGCTCTGCAGCCCTGAGCTGGGCTGTGCTGTCTGCTCTAGTGGAGCAGGACTGGCCCCTCTCCTCTGCTCTCTAGCTGGAGCAGGGTGGAGGCATGGCCAGATACCAGCCTCCCTAGTGCAAAGGGGGCAGAAAAGAGGTTTATTCCCCCCTCCCTCCCCTGTACCACCAGCATGGATCCAAGCCGGGGTCTTTCAGGCAGGAACACAGCAGCCCGTCAGGCATTTTGCCCCACTTGCTGCTCCAATGCCAGGGGCCATGACCAGCCCTGGCAGCAGCCCCAAGCAAATAAGGGATGGGGGGGTGTTAATGGCCCCTTCCCTCCCTTGTTCCACTGGCGTGAAGGCACAAACCCCAGCCAGGGTCTGCCTGGCTGGCAGGGGCATAGCAGCCTGTGTTAGGGCCACCCCTCCTCCCCAGCCTTGCTGCTGCAGCAGCAGGGGCAGGGGAATAGCCAGACACCAGCCAGGCATGGCGCCTGAGATGAAGGGGGCAGGAAGGAGGTTTGTTCCGCCCCCATCCCCTTTCCCACCTGGGGGACCCCAGCAGGGGCCTGCCTGGTGGGGCAGAGCAGCCCCTGTCAGGCATTGCCCCCCCCCCGCCACTGTCACTCAAGTGACAGGGGGCATGGCCAGCCCCAAAAGTAGCCTCAAGCAAATGGGGCAGGGGGGGTGATGGGGATGGAGAAGGATTTAATTCCTCCCCTCCTCCCCTGTCCTACTGGCAGGACCCAAGCTGGGGTCTGCCTGGCTGGAGTGCAGCAACCTGTGTCAGAGGCACTCCCCCCTGTGCTGCTGCAGCAGCAGGGGAAGAAGTATAGCCAGACGCCAGCTTGACATGGCCCCCTGAGGGGAAGGAGGCAAGGAAAGGCTTTATTCCTCACTTCATCCCCCCTTCACTTCAGGGGACCACACTGGCCAGCATCTGGCCACAACCTCACCCCGATGCTGAACCAGTGAGGGGGAGGGACACTGATGGGGCAGCAGCCCCTGTCATGGTGTCCCAGGGAATGCAAAACTCTTCCTGGTGGGGGGGCTGTGCTGCAGGTGGGAGCAGGGTGGGCAGAACTGCCACAGCCTGTGTGGAGCAAGCAGCAGCAGGGCTCAGAGGGGTGGCTGTGGGGGGCTAACCCACATTTTGGGGCTGCCATAGCCCTGCAAGACCTCCCTAGTACCACCACTGCTGGGGGCCCTGCACAGGCTATAGCAGTTCCTCCCGCCCCGCTCCTGCCCACAGCACAGCCCCCAGACTGAGAAGAGGCTTGTGCTCTCCAGGACACCATGACAAGGGCTGCTGCCCCAGGGGTGGGGTCATGACCAGAATTCATCTGACATGGCCTCCTAAGGTAAAGTGGGTGGGGAGGTGATATATTCCCCCCTCCCTCTCCTCCCAGGAAACCACAGCCAGGGTCTGCCTGGCCAGGTGCGACCAGTGAAGGGAGCAGCTGGGTGCTGGCAGACCCCAGCTGTAGTTCCCCACAGGGAGAGGGGACAGAGGAAGAAATAAACCCCCTCTCTGCCCCCTTTGCATCAGGGGCCCATGCAAGGCTGGCATCTGGCCACATCCCTGCCCCACCAGTGCAGCAGTGAGTGGGGGGGCGCAGATCCTGACACAGGCTGCTCCACCCCAGTCAGGCAGATCCTAGCTGGGGTCCATGCCAGTGGGACAGGGGAAGGAGGGGAGGGGGCGAGTTAAACCCCACTCTGTCCCTGTTCATTTGAGCCTGCTGCTCCTGCCACTTGAGTGGCAAGGGAGGAGGGTGGGAAATGCCTAGCAGAGGCTGCTTCCCCCTTCCCCCTCCAGCTACACCTTGACTGGGGACTGTGCAGGCCAGGTTTAAACCCCTTCCCAGTCATACTTAGCCTGCCAGGGCCTAGCCACACACCCCAGCTCAGTTTGCCCATCAGCTGAGGGCTCGCTCTAGCACTCTCTGGCTTCTGGCCTGAGCCACTGCAAGCATGTGCCTGCATTTCCAGAATCGAAAGTGAATGTCTGTTCACTTGCTTGCCGTTCAATTTATGCAGGTTAAACTAGCCTTCAAAGATTGATCTGATTCAGGCTTGGGCTTTCTGAATGTCTGTACTTAGCCAAGTACTTCCTTGGCTAATTCTTTTATTTAACTAACTGTATATAAAGGGTTACAGATAATGAGGCCCCTTAGGATGTTTCTTGCACAGGCTTAGGAAAAAAGTATGGCTCTGTAGTCTAGCTCCTTTTTTCTATAGGTTGTGAATTTTCCATTTTAAGCAACAGATCTGGCTATCTTCCATGTTATGGTAATCTGAGAGTAATGTTGTAGCCATAATATTAAAAAAACTATGCAAGGGGCAAGGATTTCTTAGGGTGAATAAATCCTCTTAGGGTGAAACACTATTCTAGAAAAGAATAGAAAAAATGGCAAATGAACAAACTCTTCTCAAATATATATTTGAAGCAAAGAAGAACATTTCTGAAAGAACATCACATCAGTGAAGACAGCCTGTCAGCATTGCAGAAGTTACCCCTGAGTGTCATATGACTATAGCACTGCATGCTGTAGTCCTACCCCATCTGATGAGCTAGCTTAACACTCCAGCCCACAAAAGACTCCTTGCCACATCCATTCTTTCAGATCCTTCTTCCCAGGCACCATTTTATTCATACAGACCAAATTTCACAATTGACATAGGCTGCAAAAAATAACTATATTTTGCTCTCTCTACTCCAGAATTTTCCACCAAAACCAACCAGCCTCCCTCCTATATCATACCACAGGGGTTTTCAACCTTTTTAAAATAAGTGTACCCCTGGCAGCCCAACTTTTAGTAAGTGTAGCCCTGTGGGGGTGGCAAGCAGCCAGATGCAGAGTGGGGGTGTGTGCCAAGTGGCAACAGTACAGCATCTGTGCAGCCCTGCTATCTCCCCACCCCAGCCTGAGAGAGCAGCATGGGGTGGTGGCCCTCCATCCCTGCCCACCCCTGCGTACCCCCAGTTGACAACCCCTGTCATACCACATCTCTTAAAAAAACAAAAACAAACAAACAAACAAAAAAGTCCACAACCTTTCTCTGTCCTTTTTAGCTCCTGACACAGAAGACAGCTGCACTAGGAGGGACTGAGAGTAGTTGCCAGGTTTTTTTTAGCTCTTTCCACCTTTTTTATGCCCCATGAATTCTGCTGGAATGTACTGTGCTAGGGTTTGCAAGGAAGTATTTGAAAAGCAGCCTTTTGACTATCAGCAATAATGTGTGCACTAAAAGAATTCCTCATGGTTATCCAAAGCTTTCATAGCCTCTTTATGCTACCTGGGTCATTTTATATGGTATAAAGGGGCCAAACCAAGGATGAGCATCTCATATTTGGAGTGTACAATTTTTTGACTGGACATTAAGTTAATGGAATTTATATTATAATATAACACAGCATTTGCCATTATCTGATTTTGAATAGTTTGGTGCTGATTTGAAAGACTCAAACAGGAATTGCTTGGGCGTGCCTGGATTTCTCATCATGCAAATTACCCAGCACTACTGATAGGCTAGTGGTTAAACAGGGACAAGTCAAGTCATCTGGTTACCATAAGTATTTCAAAGATATAAACAACCAGGTTTAATATACTATGTAGAGAGTCTCCTGAAGGAAATGGTGGAGGCCATCACAGCTTGGGGCATGCTATAAATCTAATAAATAAAGCATGGAAAAGCCCTTAAGGACAAAATGTAGAGAATAACCCCACATTTGATGAGCACTGGACAGTTTAACAGTTCTTCATTTTTTACATATGAAATTAAAAAGTTACTCTTAGTGCTGTTGGTCTTTTCTCTGTTTATGTATTATATTTGAAAAGTTTTCAATGTCTTTTAATTAAGTGCACAAAATAGTCTGTTTGTTACATCCATTTGTTATGCCTGCCCTTAAAATTATGAATTCTTTGAAGCAGGTAGTATTTCATTTTCTGTGTAAATAGCATCTTAGTACAATAATGTCTGGATCCTACCTGGGGTCTCCGAGCACTAACACTTTACTTAATATATATTAATAATACTTACGTGGGTTTGCAATTCTCCAAGATTTTATTCATTTTTTCCTGTTTATTTCTTAAATTTTCTATTTCTTTCTCAGTATTTGGATCTTGATTCCTCCTGTTCTGTCTTACCAAATTTACATATATTTTCGTGGCCAGTTGTTCTACTGAATGAATGTTAAACCTTAAAATAAATACATTTTAGTAAATATCTATTAAGATTTGTAAACTCTGATAAAGATACATATTAAATACAGGATACTCCTGTTTACTTTTAAAAAGTTCAACTTTTGAATATTATTGTAATTTTAGTCTTTAGAAGTACATCCCTATTACGCAAAACACTTAAGCCTATACTTAACTATAAGCATATGAACAGTAAGCAGTACTGACAATGAGATTACTTATATGATTAAAGTGTATCATCTACTTGTGCTTAGACTACATACCTTAGCAAAATGAATACGTAAGTAGTTTTCAATCTGTTACATGCAGATGTAAGTGACAGCATAAGATGAACTCAGCCAAGAATTAGACCTCATTTTTCAATTTGGTTCACTGTGTTAAATTTTAACTTTCCTTTAACCTTTTTGATTCTTGCACGATTAACTCTGACTTTTCAGACGGTAACAAAATGGTTCCAATTTACCTCAGCTGGACTTTTTAACATCTTGTAGGAGTGAAGGAAGGAAGGAGCTGGTAAAGACATTGTATTTTTTGCTGAGTCATATCAATACTTATCACCAGTACCTATCATTTTAACTCTGACAGCAATATGTATTACCACATATTGAATCTACACACTTACATAAAAAATATGGCAGGCAGTTTATCCATGGCTTGTAATTTTTCAACAAAACGACAAAATTTGATCCGCTTTTCATTTTCTGGACAATCAGTGGGGTGAGGTTTAAGACACTCCAGAAGCTCCTGCACCTGGCCAAGTACAAAGATGGTTAGCTAGATTAGTTAGGCAGAAGGTAGGGCACAGTAACACCTTAGGACACTTTTACACATACTCTGGTGGTGAGGTGGAAAGTGCTTTAATTAGAGCGTCTCTGACAGCCACTCTAATTAAAGTGCTGCAGTATCTCATGCATCAGCATCCTCATGCTTAAAAGTGGCAGCAGAGGCACTTGAACTAAAGCTTGTTCGATAACCTTCAGTTCCAGCACTCCTTCCACCATTTTTAAGTGTGGGGATGCTGATCCATGAAATGGAGGAGGCTCCTGGAGTGTGGCAACTGCAGCAGTTAATTGAATCTGCTCGGATGCGCTAGAATTCCAGCACACTGGAGCAGCCGCGCTGCTTGTGTACAGGCAGCCTTAGAATCTAAGTCGTTCAGAAGCATGAGCTTTTGTAGGCAACATGCTATTTCATCAAATTCCTAGCATCTAATGAGTTAGGTTGTTCCCTATAAAAAAAGCTCATACCTCTCTGAACCACTTAGGCTGCTGCCATACATTAACCCCATTCCACCCCCTCCCAAAACTGCTCTGTACCAGAAGAAGTAGTGCATTAGTTTGACCCAGCTCTTCAGCATCTGTATAGACTGGGCACTTTAATGGGGTTTATTGCCACTTTTAGCTAACAGCTGATTCAATCAGCTATTAAATAAAAGCACCAAAAAAGCCCCACTAAAGTGCCTGATCCATACAGACATCTGGCAAGCCAGGTCCAACTAACACACTGCCTCTTCTGGGCATGCATGGAAGCACACTAAGTTTAAAGTAAAGTGCTGCTGTTTTGTTTTTTCATGTCTGTAAGCAACCTAAGATGACACACTTTCCTACCTTCTTCCTGTAGAAAGTATTGTTATTGCTCAGATTTACAGTTTAGATGTTTTGGAGCAGACTATATACTTTCACATCTAAGGCCCTCTCCATCCTAATACCTTAATTAAGAGAAAAAATGCTTGATAATAGAATTTGCATAAGATTGGCAGTTCTAAGTGCGGCTCAGGCACTGAAGAAACAACTCATTTCACCTCTCATTTTCTTCATCCATAAAAAGGATGATACCTACCACATCCAACAATAGGCTGACTCTGGAACCTTTATTCAATATATTCTCACCACCATAAATGGGACCTTGAGGAGGTAGCTAGGAACAAAATCTGATATACTACATCCACAAGCTCTGGGCACGGGAAGTGAAATCAGTTTATTTATACTCAAATTCAGAAATTGGATTAGCAAACAGGGTGGCATAAAGCAGTTGTCTCTAGCAGGTTAGTATTAAAGGAGTGTGTCACGGCATGGGGTCCCAAGGGATGACCATAATGCCCGAGGGCTCAGTGACTGTGGCAATCTTGCCCAATGGGAACACTTTTCCTCACCTACCATGTCTTGCTGGTAATTATAATAAATAGGGAGGCTGCCCTCAAATTTGTTTGGACACAGTCCTGATGGACCCCACTGAACCCTGTGGGGTCTTGGACCCCCTTCTGGGTCCTGCTCAAAATGGATGCCTCACGGGACATTATCAGCCTTATGGGTTAGATGCGTGGCTCCAAAACCACCCCTTTACCATGCCCCAAGCCTTGCAGATGGTATTTAAATGTTGTCCCCCCAAGGCCTTACTCTATTTTGGCCCCCTGTCATTGCTGGGCTCTCCACAGCCCCTTTGTCACTGCCCCCCCCCCCCGGGGCCAGGCCTGCTGGCACTGGGGTCTCCACACTGTAGTGTGGCCCCAACAAGGCCTCCTCCTCCTCCCCAATAGCCTCGGTCCAGTCCACCAGTTTATAAACAGCAACCAAAATGAGCCCCTGGGCTATAACATAATACAACCAGTCTAGGGTGCACTCTCTCCCTTTAAAAGATACAAACTTTCCCCCAAGCATTAAGTGCCTTGTAGCCCAGGGTACCTAGTGAGCTCCTGGAGCCCCATGAGTTCTATAGGCAACCACAGCATCTCTGGGTGATTCTTTTCTGCAGACTCCGTCCACTGGCTGCTGCCAGAGAACTAACTCCTGCTAGCCTCAGCCCTGGGGTGTATATGTGCCCAGGGCCCTGACTCCCTACCAGTCATCTGACTGTGTGCAGGTGCAGGCTAATTCCCATGTCAGTCAGCTGCCATAGTAACCTACACCTGTGGGGTTTCTGCCTGGCTCCTAGGACACTCTCCCTAGGCAGTTTCTCCTCTTAAAGGAGCAGGCACTTTAGTGCCCTGCGACAGAGTGAAAATACAAAATCTAAGAACACCTGAAGAAATATCAAAACTTGCATAACAACAACTTTGGGGTGGATCCAAATAAGGACTGGATCCCATCCAGATCTAACATGGGACAGGCAGACATTAGGTCGCTAAATGCAGGAAAACCACTCTGTGGGTTCATCTACACATGCACTTACCTGCACACTAGACTAATCTGCTGTGGTGTAAAGCATCACAGTCTACACATACTCTATTAAACAGCAGTAAACTAATTTTCACCACCATAAGGTAGTACTGTCAGGGACGGTACTATCTTACAGCAACAAAAATAATTGTGCCTAAATGCAAGAGTAAATGCTGACCTGGGCATACGTTGTGCCCAGTCAGTCCAGGTGGCAGGAGGCCAGACTCCTGCCTGCTTCCTAGCCATAGGGCTCCACAAGCTGGGTCACTCATGCTCCAGTCAGCCCCTCCAGCCAGCCTTGGGCTGACCCCCTGCAGTCCCCTGCCACCCTGGGGCTGCTCCACCCTGGTTCAAACTGCTGAAGTCCCAGGTGCAGCATCTGCACATGTGCCTTGAATCACAGCAGTTTGAACATCTACATGTGCCATTAAGGTGCCATGATAAACTCCAGTGCAAACTGCACCAGAGTTTATGATGTTGCCTTAATGGCACATGTAGATGCACCCAGTGATTGCTCAAGCCTGGAGGTATCTAAAGTTATTAGTGCCTCCGTATATGACCTGTAAGTTCTCCAGATGCCTTCAGTTCTGCTTCTGTACATGCCCCAAACTGTCCCAGCCTAAGTTCAGTCAGGATCCAGGAACCCAGCACTCCTCTGCTTGAGTCTGCTAAAGAACCCAGTTCAGGGGGCAACTCAGAGCAGTCCTAAATCACACACACAGAATCAAGGCCCTCAGAAAAACCACTTGTTTCCAGTTTCTTCTTGGACCAAAGCTGGAAGAAAAAGTGGTACTCACCTTTTTATACAAAATTCTAGTGGTTAGAAAGAGTAGCATAACTTGAGAAAGTGAGAAGAGTGCTAGCCCCAGGCACAGATTCAGGGGGGCAGCCCTAAGGATAGCTCACACTAGTGCAGCAACCTATGCCACCACTGGCCCTGTATGGAGGAAAGAAGCACCCGCTAGCTCCTGCCACCACTGCCCTCTAACACCTCTATGCCACCCAGGGTGCCAATAACGTACAGTTACGCTTCTGGATAGAACACTTGCCCAGGAAGCAGGTTCAATGCCTTCCTCTCCCTGAGTGTGGTCCATAGATTTAAGGATGTGTTTAAGCTGATGCTGGCTCAATTAAGCCAGGGTCAACAGCTATTATATGTTACATTTTGGCATAGGTGCTGAGTACATGGGGGCCAAAGGCCCAGGCCCCCCTTGGGAAGAGGGATGTCAAAGTCCAAACCTGAGGAAAAGTATGTAATATTTCTTAGGAACGATGACTGAGGCCGGGGATCTGGGTGTTCCATTCATGGAGAAAAAACAGGGACTGTCTCCTTTAATGGAGAAAAACACAGGAAATGGTGCGGTTCCCCTTGCAGGTTGGCAGCATTCAGGCCTGAGGGAAGCAAGGAAGGCGATTGGAGGCAGGGGGTGCCAGGTGGTAGAGAGCACCTCCCATAGCTCCCTCCAAGTAAGTTTATGAGGAGAGGACCTGCGATGTGGCAGGAAGGGGCAAGGGCCCAAGGCAACACAGCAAAGAGGTCATGTGGCCCTCAAGATTCCTACACTCACAGTGGGGCACGTGGTGCAGGACTGGACTAGCTCCAGGCAGGAGCCACCTCCACGGTCCAGCAGGTGGGACTTGATGTGTGAAGGAACACCATGCTGCCATGGCCACCAAGATGAGGTGCGGCAGTGATAGCAGCAGCAGCAGTGCAGAGTTGTCCCTCTCACTGCTGCCAGGTGGGCAGGGGCACCTCGCCTTGGCAGCCATGGCAGTGCAGCACTCCTGCCTGTTGGTCTGCAGAGGGGGGCCCCTGCAGCCCCACCTGCCACTGTGGGCTCAGAAATCTTGGGAACCATGAGCCCCTTCACCCCCCTGCCACATTGCCTGTGCCCCCTCCTACCTCCCCATCCATCACCTGTGCCCACACCCCGCTTCCCCCTACACTGGGGGTGGAGGGTACATGTCCATCATCTTAGCCCCCCTCCCCCCCCGGGCAAAAATAAAAGTGAGCACCTATGCACTGCAGTATCCACTCACAGGAAAATTGGAAGCATAGAAAGCCTTTTCGATCTTCTGTACATACAAAATGTTACCCATTTGGTTCACAAGTTATGCTCATGCCTGTTTTCAATGTTGCTCCCATAGAGGGTGGTAAATGCTATTCAAAAGATGAGACAAATATCCTGGAACTGAGACTAGTTTAGACACACTCAGAGCCATGTTCTGATACCCAGGTGTAGGCAAAACAAACTGGTAAAATCTGTCAAGCTTAAAAAAGGCTGTTTTTTCTGGAGTGGGGTTTTGGAGGGGTAGGGGGGGGATTTAGCGTGAGACGCCCGGCTGGAGGTAGGGGGCAGGGACTGTGGAGGCAGGCAGGTTTACCAGTGAACAGGTGCCTCCTGCTGTAACTCATTAGGAAAGACATTAAGGGGGGTAAATTGGTATTTGGCTCCCCTGCTGAAATTTGAGGGGGAATTACACATGGGGCTTAATTCATTCGAAAGCCCATGGCAGGCAAACACAAACGCGATGCACCAAAATAAGCTGGGTTAAAATTTTTTAGGCTCATTAAATTAACAAGGATCAAATGAAGCCAAATTTCAAACCTACCTTTGCCTGCATTAAACAAAAATTTCAGGAAAATCTAAGTAAGCATGTGGTATATAGAACACTTAAGAATGGGTCTATATACAGAAAGGGATTCTCAACAATAACTGTGCCACAGCTGGCATTCCAGTTTAAGAAACCATATATGCTGCTTGCAGACATGGTGGAAAAAAAACGGTTTACTGAAAGAAGCAGCATGTTACTTCGACCCGGTTCTGCGGTGGCTGTATAGGTCAGGCACTTCAGTGGGGCTTTTTGACTCTTATTTAAAGCTGATTCAACGTGATGCCTCTTCTGGGCATGTGCTGGGCTCGGCATGAGGGTGCACCAAATTTAAAGTATAGCTTGTTTTTTTTGTTTTGTTTTGATGTCTGTGAGCAGCCATAAAAAACAATCACACAAGGATACTAGAAAATGTTTTCAAATCATAATAAAAGAAATAAAAAATACTGACATTTTTTATTTAATAGCATAGCAATTTTACTGCATTAATATTGTATTTACACCCCACAAGGGGATAAGTTTTAAGATTTTTCATTACCTTATCCTTTTGACCAAGTGCAATCCAGTTAGTTAGTTCCTTCTTCAGTTCCTGTTCATAGTTCCTTGCATCTGCCTTTTTTATTACTATTTTATTCTTGAAAGAGAGAAACTCCTCAGGATCCAAGTCCTAAAAAACACCAGAAATAAAATTGTGGAAAACTGCTCTACCAATTTTTAAAAAAAACAGCAGTCCCCATCTAATTTTTTACACACACCTGTGCTCTTGGCCAATTCTGCCAGACTTTTACCATTGTGTCATATAGCTGAAGGCTCTCCCTGGGAGATAAGGCAAGATCTGAAGGAAAACCATATTTCTCAATCTACAGGTATATGAAGAAAAAAGATTCAGCAGAATAATTTATTTGTGTTTACTCTGGCTAATATAACTGATATAACCATTTTGGTCTTGATATTACACTTACATGATTCACTGTTAGGGCAGCCCATGGGTGATAGTGCTCAATGACAAAATCATCATCCTTAACAGAACACACATACTTTTCTAGATCATTGTATCTTTCTCCATGCAGCACTGTTATTAGAAGAACAAACATTATTTACAAATTAAACCTATGATTGTTTCTTTTAATGATTAAGGCCCCAGTCCTGCAAAGACTTTTTACTCCAAAGAAACTATTCACAGTACTTAAAATAAAGTCTTTGTATGGCTGGAGCCAAATGCTGATTTGTATATTTAAAAATGTTCTGATACAAACCTAATCTAACTCTATCTGATTTTTTGGGGTTTTGTAGCTTTGGTGTCCTTGCATGTTTCATGGTAGATGTAGACATTTCTTCTTTCATTCTACCCTCAGCTTGCTGCCAGTATCTTTTTACTGATTGAAGCCACCTACAGTATTAGAACACAGTAAAGGCACTGGAGCAGTAAAATACCTTAAAGAAAATACTTGTGTGCATTTGTACCAGGAAAAAGACAAATTATGAGAATCTGCATCTGTGTTATTAAAGTTTGAACCTCAGCTAAATTCAGCGAGTTTGTACAAATAAACAGACTTCAACCAAATAACTCCCTTAAACAAACTTTCTTGAACTTTACAAGAAAAGCTAGGATTTGAGTTTGGTTCTAGAAATAACACAAAGTTTAGCAATTCAAAGCATTCTTATTTCAATCAAACTGAATGTAGCTATGACTAGATTTGGAAAAGAAAAGACACCAAAAAATGATGACTGCTACTATAAATAAGTTGTGGGCTGGGGCAGGTGTATGTGCGTTTTGTGAGCAGGTGTACAAGTCAACTTTTGGCACTTTGCCAGACGACAATTAACTGAATGAGGAAGGCAACCTAGTGAAAGGTGATGTGGAAAAGGCTCTGTCTTCACAGGCAAGGTCATCTCCTATACTACTGCACCTGGGTAGGAGGTCAGCAGCCCTCAGTGGTGAAAGAACAAGTTTGGAACTATTTAGAAAAGCTGGATGTGTACAAGTCCATGGGGCCAGAAGTAATGCACCCAAAGGTGCTGAGGTCATTGGCTGATGTGATTGCTGAGCCTCTGGTCATTATCCTTGAAAACTCATGGCAATTAGGAGAGGCCCCAGACAATTGGAAAGGGGCAAATATAGTGCCTATATTTTAGAAAGGGAAGAAAGAGAATCCAGGGTGCTAGAGACCAGCCAGTCTTACCTCAGTCCTGGAAAATTCATGGAGCAGGTCCTCAAGGAATCCATTCCTAAGCACTTGGAGGAGGAGAAGGTGACTAGAGACAGTCAGCATGGATTCACCAAGGGCAAGTCATGCCTGACCAACCTGATTGCTGTCTATAATGCAATTAGGAGGCTGGCTTTGTGGATGCAGGGAGACCAGTGGACATAATATACCTTGACGTTAGCAAGGTTTCTGATACAGTCTCCCACAACATTCTCGCAAACAAGCTAAGGAATTGGATGAATGGATTGTAAGGTGGATAGAAAATTGGATGGATCATCAGGCTCAAAGGATAGTAATCAATGGCTCAATGGCAGCTGGTATCAAATGGTCAGTCCTGGGGCCAGTTTTGTTCAATCAACAATCTGGAAGATGGGATGGAGTACACCCTCAACAGCTGCAGATGACACCAGGCTGAGGGGAGTAGTAGATAGATACACTGGAGGATAGGGCTAAGACTCAGAGAGACCTTGACAAATTGGAAGATTGGACCAAAAGAAGAGCTGCAATAAGGAGAAGTGCAAAGTCCTGCACTTAGGATGGAACAATCCCATTCCTCGTTACAGGCTGGGGAACAACTGGCTAAGCAGCAGTTTTGCAGAAAAAGACCTGGGAGTTACAATGGACAATAAGCTGAACGTAAGCCAACATAATGCCCATAATGCAAAGAAAGCTAACAGCATATTGGGCTTCATTAGTAGAAGCATTGTCATCAGATCAAGGGAAGTGATTCTTCCCCTCTATTCAGTACTGGTGAAGCCACATCTGGAGTACTGTGTCCAGTTTTGCACCTCTCCCCCACTACCGAAAATATGTGGACAAATTGTGGGGTCCAGGGGAGGGAAATAAAAATGGTTAGGAGGCTGGGCCACAAGAGTTGTGAGGAGGGGCTGAGGGAATTGGGCGTATTTAGTCTGGAGAAGAGAAAACTGAGGGGGGATTTAATAGCAGCCTTCAGCTACCTGAAGGGTGGTTACAAAGAGGATGGAGTTAGACTGTCTTCAGTGGTGGCAGATGAGAGAACAAGGAGCAGTGGTTTCAAGTAGCTGGAAGGGAAGTTTGGGTTAGATATTAGGAAAAACATCCTCACTAGGAGGGTAGTAAAGCATTGTCTAGCTGAAACAGACTACCCAGAAAAGCTGTGGAATCGCCATCCTTGGAGGTTTTCAAGACCCAGCTAGACAAGGCCTTGGCTGGGATGATCTAGTTGTGGGTGGTCATGGTTTGAGTAGGGAATTGGATTAGATGACCTCCAACCCTAATTTTCTATGATTCTAATTCAAAGCTAAGAAGACAGATGCTAGGGAGTTGATAAACCAACCACTTCCTTGCTGCCTCTTCCCAGATGCTCACTTGCTCTCTGCTTTTCCTTATCACAGTAGGAATCAAAATCAGATTAGGGACAACTAAGGAAGTGAGGAAAGTCAAAGGTTGCTCTTGGCCAGAAAAAGATATTTTTACATAAAAAGGAATGTTTTCACCTGTTTCACATCTTACCCTCCAAGGTAATTTTCTCATACTATATTTAAATAATTCACATGCTGTTAAAAGTAAGAAAACTTCAGGCTTACTCAGTAAGATAATCTGGATTACTGATAGTTGCAGACAGAGCCAGAAATGGACACTGAATCATAACCAAAAGGTGCTCCCAAACTTCAGCTCCAATTTCTCCACCTAGACAATGTACCTATATTGGAAAAGATACACAGCCAAAAATATGGAAACACATATTAATGAGGAAATAGTTTAAATGTTCTTACATGTAGTATACCCTTCATCTGTAAACTCAGCCAGATTAACCCTTTAGTGGACTCTAGGCAAAGTCATGGTCCCTGGGTCAGTCAAGACCTCCACCCCCACCTTGGCGCTGCCGCCAGCAGGGATCTGGGCTCAGAGCTGCTGCTAGGAAGCAGCCACCACCGCAGTGAGGCTGGCAGAGGGGAGGGAAAGGAAGAGAGAGTGACTAGGCCATTTGCACTGCTGCCGTGGAGGGAAGGACTGGGACCCCCACAACTCAGGGTCCTAGGCATGTGCCTACTTTGACTATGTGTTAATCCAGCCCTGTCTGTGAGCATGATTCCCACCAACTTATTTAATACAGAATGCTTTTCTGTGACTGATTTGTTCCCACAGAATCTGCTATGGAGAAACCTGACAAAAGAATCAATACGGAATTTTAAAGGATTTATCTACACTTTGGCAGTGTTGTGTCCTGGCCAGGACAGGCCAGAACAAACACTATCCACACCCCATTCATCCACACCTGTACTATACCAAGGGAGGCCCCCTCACCGGCCAGTATCAGGAGTACTTGAGACTAAGCACTGGAAAGCACCCTTCAGCAGGGAACTTCTGGATTTGGGGTGTACTTGCAGGCATAGTTGGGCAGGGAATGCTCAGGCTTAACTCATAATGCCCGAGATGAGGAAAATCTTGCTTGCAAAAAAAAAAACATTTTGTGACACATCACTTGCAGTATCTGTTGCCAAAAGCAGAATTACTCTGTCTTGTATTATAATATCCCCTGTTATTATTAAAACATTCTCAGCAACAGTAACACATTTTTTTATTATAAGGATGAAGCAAACTGACTAACCCTAATACAGAAAAATAGCTGCTTTTAATTAATTTTTATCTCGGTACCATGGGGGTTTCTTATAAGGGGGTTATACTATATACAAATTTTGCAAACATAGCTCATTTCACAAAATGCCTGCCAATAATTGAGACATGGTTACATATGCCATCAATTCCCCATTGATGCCCATTGATTTCAGTGAATATTGGCTCAACACTACATTTATACGCAAGGTTCCTGTTGACAACACTAGCAGTTTAGCTGAAGAAGAAAGATAACAGAGTCCTATTTCATTTTATGTGACTACATGGCATATTACATGGATCCAAATGAATCCAAAATCCAGTTATTGGCACTTAACAGTTTCAAATTCTATTTCGCCCTCCTGCATTTTAGAAGGCAATAGCCCAGAGGTTATGGTACTTGGCCAGGGAGCAGGAGAACTTGGTTCTAACCTCACAGAGAGGACTTGAATGTGAAGCTCCTGATTCCCAGCAAAATGCCCTTACCCCTAAGCTAGAGGTTAGGCATTATCTAAACCCTTGATTTACTATTCATTGGATACAGGCAGTCCTCGGACTTACGACACAACTGGTTCCTGAAAACCGTGCCTTGAGTCAAAAGGTTGCAACTCGGAACCAATTTTCTTATAAGAAGCAATGTTATAAATGGGGGATTGGTTTCTGAACCAAGGCCCGATACCCTATTTTCACCAAAAATACCCCAGCATTTTGTACTTGATCAATTATTGATGAGTAATATAGGTACATTAATGTATTTATATTGTAAATAGCAATCATATTGATTTGGAAGGACTTATTTGAGGTGACTTTGCTGGACTTTTTGAAAAGCTCTTGGTTGGACTTTTTGAAGGGTTCTTAGCTGGAGTCTTCTCAGGAATCTTGGCTGCAGGTTTTCCTGGAGTCTTGTCTTCTTTCTTAAAGATAATGTCCAAGGAATTTTGGACAGATGTTCTCCAGGGAGATGAGCAACACAGCAAACTTGTTCGCTGGCATGGTGTCACATTGGATCAAGTGTTGTAAAGTCTAAATTGACGTCGTAAAGTTGAAACAGGGTGTCAATTTATAAAAGTTGTAAGTATGAAATGTTGTAACTCAAAATGTTGTAAGTCGAGGACTGCCTGTAATAAGTTATTGGAGAAGTTTCTGCCCCACTAAGAACAGGATCATAGGATAGATCCCAGAGCCTGCATCTCATGCAGGGGAACATCCATTTTACGGAGTCTTGTGACTTATGTAAGACTATCCACTGGCTTGTGTAGGAATCATGCTGTACTACAGGGCTGTCCAACGTCTGGGCTGCTGGGAGCCACAAGCTGTGTGGGCCACAGACCCAGGGGCCGTAGGTGTCATGTACTGCTCACCATATAGGCTGTCCTCCCCAGCCCCATCTCCCAATCATGTGGGCAGCTCAGTCCCATCTGCGACAAACAGGGCATATCTACATATGGCTCTTTTAAGCAGGCTTAGCTAAAATTGCCATTTTTAAGGCACATTAAGGGCACCTGCCTACATGTGTACACCCTTAATGTGTCTTTAAAATGGTGATTTAAGGCTATGTGAGCCTAATTTGATACCTGAATAGAGCAGGTATCAAATTTAGGTGCGAATAGCTAAGTCGCATTAGCACACATGCAGATGCACTAATGCACATTAACACAGTGTGCATCAATGGATACATGCTGCATTAATGAACATTAGGACGTCTGCACGTGCACTGATGCAACTTAGCTATTTGCACCTCACTTTAATGCACTTTAGCACATAAATGTGTACACAGGCCTAAATCACCTTAATGTGCCTTAAGCAAAGGCACATTAAGTTTAGACATACTATACCTAAATGCACCTGTCAACATGCTCACAATGCAGGTAGCCTGGCTCCCTCACTCCACCATGTGCACAGACAACCCCACACCCTGAAAGTCCACCTAGTGCACACAACCCAGCTCCTTTTCTTGCCATACATGTAGCACTCACAGCACAAAACCACCAGAGTCTACACTACCTGTGCAGCACAGGCACCCTGAAGCCCCTGCCAAGAATGTAGCATGGGTAGCCCAGTCCCCTCCTACTGCACTGCCCTGTCCCCAAAAACAGAGGCAGGAAGTTGAAACTGGAGGAGAGAAGAGGAGCCCAAGGAACCCAGCCACCACCTCAGCTTGAGCAAGTGGGGAAGCAGCAGCTGGACAGTAGCCAGGGTGGCCATCATAGAGGACATCCAGTTTTCTGCTACTCTGTCCTCTATTGATATGTGTCACAGGGCACTGAAGTGCCTTACTCCTATAAAGAGGTACAGGTGCCGGTTGCCGGGGCAACCGCAGTTGGTCAGCTGACCAGAAGGGGGCAGGGCCCGACCTATATAAATACAATCCAGGCTGAGGCCAGGGAGGCAGTTCTCTACTAGTAGCCAAGGAAGAAGGAGCTCTGCTGGAGTAAGCAGAGTAAAGAAGCCTGATGGCCTGAACAGCTTCTGTATGAGGATACTGGGTGGAGGAAGCCCTGGTAGGGATTTGAATGATGGTTAGTCAGATGTCTTAGAGTTTACATTGTAGCCCAGGGGTTTGAGTTTTCTGTTTGTAGTTTTATAAGACCGGAGGACCAGGTGAGGCTATTAGGGGTTGGAGGAAGCCTCATAGGGGCTTCGCGGTAGTGTGGGGACCCCAGTCTCAGAGAGGGCACAACATTCAGGGGTGCACTGACCCCAGCCCTGAGAAGGGGCGCAGAGGATTGGGGGCCAGGTTAGGCCGAGGCTGCCTGAGCCCCACAGGAACTCTTGGACCTGAGGAGGGGATTTGGGGGCCAGGCACGTCTACGGCCACCTGAGCCCCAATTGTGAAAAGCCCCAGTGCGGGCGGGCGCAAAGAAAGCCCCGAGCGAGAGTGGGAACAGGCGAGAAGCCCCAAAGTGGGCACAGTTGCGGACAAGGCCCCAGTGTGCATCCGTGAGGGCGTGGGTCGTTGTGAGACAAGCCCAGGGAACCCGTGGGGGTGCAGGCAATTGCGGAAAAGCCAGGGGGCACCCATGAAGGTGTGGGCAATTGCAAGATGAGCCAAGGGGCGTCCGTGAGGGCGCCGAGGGGAGAATTGACCAGACAACGTCCAGTACCTCTGCGAGGCTTGGGGCATGGTACAGGGGTGGTTGGAGCCACATGTAGCCCCTAAGGCTTTAGTGCACTGAGTCACCTAAGACAGAGCACAGACCAGGATACATCGGGGCACCATGTCAAAGAAGACAAAAAGGCAGCCTCCCTTAAACAATACTAACATCAAAGATGTGGTGGGTGAGATGGTGAGGGTGCATTGACACCAGGTTGGCATGGTAGGGGGTGCTAGAGGAGTTCACGGCTGCTCCTAGGACCCCGCCCTGTGACAATATGAAACCTGATGCCTTTATGTCCTCTATTTTTCTTTTGAAGACAAAAATAGAGGACATAAAGGCATCTGGTTTCCTATTGATAGAGGACAGAGGGCAACTGTACTGTCTTCTGTGATGGCCACCCTAGCAGTTGCCCACTGACCACATGCTAACCTCTGGTGGACTAGTTAGACAGCCCTGCCATTGTATATTAAGGAGTTAACATACAATTATTATGTAACATGTGATGGTATGTATGAATATATTGTTATTGTTCACCTTCAGCATGGATCAGACCTTCAGGAATCCATGGTTTAAACAAAGAAAAAGACACAGGGGCCCTTAGAAGATGTTGTGTCCTTCAAGAAACAGGAAATGTTGCTCAGTGGAAATGTCCGTGTGACCTGCTTCACATTCACAGGGCAAGGTACCTGGGGGGTGGGGGGAAGTACCCTAGGATTTTGCTCTGCTAGCACCTGCCAGCAAAGGGAGTTGAAGAGCTATTGGAAAAAGTTATTACCCCTCACCCTCCCCCAACTTCTGCTGTGCTGCTAATGAAAAGTGAGCTCTGAGTTTACCTGTTTATCAGCTGGGCTTCCCCTGGGTAAAGGAGCTGCACAAAGCAGGGGAGACTGGTGCAAAAGTGGGGAACAAGAACCGTGTAGCTCACTCTCTCACAAGACACCTTATGAGGTGCTTTTGGGTAAGTTCTTTTCTTCTTTCCCCATCTTGCCCTGCTCACAGTTTTCCAAACAGATTCCCTCCCCCATCTCCTCCCCTCTCTCAAATTCCTTCTGTGTGAAAGTAATAACATGTCAAGTTGTTTGCTTACATACTGGCTCTCTTAAACAAGCAGCCTTGAAAACTGGTTGAGGAAAGGGAGTCATTAGTCTCCTGCTGCTGCATCTTGGGGCAACAGAGTTCAGCATGAGTCACAGAGTCCTTTTGCAGGAAGGAAGCGGGAGAGAAAACAGTCCACCCCCGGACGCTGGAGGACCTGGCCAAAGGCTAACCCTATGTGTAATGTGCCACATGTTCAAATTTAAAGCACTATACAAACAAGGAGCCAGAGAGAGGACAGTCAAAATGCTAAAATTGTCCAGGTGGAAGGGGCTAACAAATAAAAGAAAGGCGCTATTATTGATATGTCAACATAAAAAGAAACGTGGCAGACAAATGAAGAGATTGGAATATGAACCATTTGGATATAGTGCATCTAAGAATGGACTGAAGAGAAACAAGGGATGCAGAAGGCATTGTGTTTTGAAAATAATAGGGTAGTGTCAAATAATGGATATTTGACACATTTCTGGAACTGTAAAGAAGATGAAACAATGAGAAATCTAGGGAGATAAAATAGAGGTAGAAAGATCAGTTCTTTGCTAATGTGAGCTAATATGCTAGTGCTAACCAGCAGAGGACAGTTAGCACCTCCATTGCTCAATCAGTTCTACCTAATATGATCAAATGCTTGTAACTGTAAGTACTATGTGGGTGTAGTGGGTAATAATTATTGTAACACTGCCATCTAATACTGTATTAATATGCATGCTACACATACCTTTTTCCACCAAATCATTTCTCCAAATTGGGGTACATGTTTTAAGCAGTTAAGCTGATTTTTTTCTGAGCTGAAATGGAGGAGTGGAAGCATGGATGAAAGCCCTAATTCTCTCACTGCCAGCCATAAGAGAGAAGAGTAGAGTTCACTGTCCAGGGTCACAGTGACACTGCTGCTAGATTGGCAGTGCAGTGTTGAGCCAAGAGCTGCTGTCAGTTCAGCAAGGGATGCAAAATGGCTAAAACTTGCTCTTACTGATGCTGCAAACTTCACTCTGTCTCTATAGTCAGGACTGAGCCATGACTAGAAAAATCATTTTTTCCTTCATCTGCCTTCCCAAAACAAGATGTGTGTCTTATTTGGGGCATGCTGTTTGGAAGAAAATATGGTAAAAGGTATGTTGTGATAATGTCTTAAAATGTTCATTTCAAGTAGTTATGGCCACTATTGGCCTTCAGATTTAATAAAGAAAGTTTAACAGAATTGTGGTCAATCAAATTCCAACAGCTTGCTTGCTTCCATTTATATCCCTTCCCTTTGCTTCCTAAAGGGTCAGCTTCAAGAAGGATGGAGAGGGTTTTGAAGAATGGCTAACTTGTGGCCTAGTGTTTAAAGCACTTTCTGGAAAGTAGGAGGTTCAGTTTCAAGCCCTATCTGAATCAATGCATGAAACCTGGGGCTTCTGCACCATAAGCAAGTACCCTAACCACTAGGTAATTGGGCTAACCCATGAGGTGACCCTTTTCCTCCAGTATTTAACACTCACTAATCATGTCCCCACCCCACAACACTTTAAATTCCAGCATGTGTTGCTGCATACCTACCCAGCTAGAGCACAGCATGCTCAGTGGGTGGATGTACACTTGTGTGGCAAGAGTTGAATTCCAAACTGTATATAACTATAAAAATGGCACATGTGCCACTTAGGCACTTAAAACACACCTGGAAGTGAAACTGACAGAGTCTAACACTAAATTTTATTTTAGAAGTCAACTTCAGAGTTGACATGGCTTTTTTACAATTTTTGGTAAATTTCTATATTCTGAAATGTTTGCAATTAAAAGCCTAAAATTTCTTCATAATCCACTTCCTTCACTGGAGACTAAACACAATACACTTTTTAAGTGATCACTTAAAGGGCAAAAAGAAAGTTAAATTCTATTAACTTTGCTCTGATTTTGCTCCAACTGCACATAAGTGTCTGCAACAGAGTGCCACTGCAGGCACTTAGGTTTTCTTGCCAGGATATATAAGGACTATGGGAGTTGAAGACAAAAATGGAAACATTTTCCTCAGACAATAAATGACAACTATATGCTTTAAGATTGGCACCTGCTTGTGACAATGTATATTTTGAAAAGTTCAATCTGTGACTCGTTTGCTTGCTTGCTTGTTGTTAAAAGACACCTACGGGGCCATCCTTGGGGGGGAGAGTGGGGTGAATTGGGGCAACTGCCCCAGGCCCTGCACTTTGGGGGGCCCCACAGAGCCAGGCAGAGAGGCTACAGCTGCTGTTTAGCACCACCCCCCCACCAGTGAGTCAGTCATCCCTTTGCCTGTTCCAGCCGAAAGTTCCGGCCACCACCTCTCCCGTCACATCCGGTGTGCCAGGGCTTTCCATCCTTGACATAAGTGTGCCATGGGATGGGGAGGGGAGCCCTGAACAGGCTACTTAGCCCAAGGCCCTGCTGGGATCATCTCTGGTACGTACCTCATCAAATATAACGTATCTTATTCTTTTCACCCATTTCTGGCGATGTGGAGACAACAACAAGATTTCCAAACATTGAGGCACTGTCACTAGTACCTGAAAAGAAATTGTTGTGACCTCTTACTTTTAAGCTATGTAACAAAACCTGGTCTCACCTAGGATGACCCCAGAGCACCAGATCTTCTCCCCAGTGCCCTGTTGCATGCCTCAAGGCTCTGACCAAATTTTGCTCAAGGAAGACTCCTCTCCCCATGAGCAAACACCTGAAGCAGTTTCCTGATGTTAAGAGTTTGACAAATATCAGTTTTAGTTCATTGCATAGGTACCAAAGCTTCTAAATCTGTAAGTCATGGCAATACTATAGTACAACTATATATTTAGGAGGCTTAGCCTTACTTATCTGACAGTTTTATACCCCATCATCATTGCATCTGAAGTCCTTCCATGTAAAGTCAATAGCAAAGTCTCTACTAGACTTTATAGCCCCTACGACTTTTTTTTCATGGTGAGCACACTGCTTGGGGTTAACGGCTCTTTATTTATATAAGCTGAATCTTGGCTTGTAGTTTAATGTAGCTACTGCAAGAGAAGGATTCACCCAAGTCCCTTTTAGTTTCTTGCCAGGATGTATACCAACTTCCTCCAATTTGTACTCTTAGTCTACATATTACTTGACTGCTGCTGGGGGTGGGGGGTGGGCCATTTCAGTTGCACAGTGCTCTTATGACTTTTTACCCTCTTGAAACATCTCAGCCTTGAGCTCAGCACTGCACAGGAGACAATGGAATTGAAGGAAGTTAAAAATAGTATTAGATTTAGGTTCCATTGCTGAGGATGTGTTGGAGGGAGGGAGATGAGAGTCCCTTTTATTCACTGCCTTTGCACCATTGCATGCGCCAAGGCTGTTGATGGATTTCTTTTCAACTTGCAGGTGCCCCTCATGACCACCATAAATTTTTCAGGTGAAAGTATTTCTGGTAGGCAAGTCTATTTAGAATTTTTTTGAACCTTATATATCCATGCCACGTTTATAATCAGAGCTACACTCTGATTATAAGGTAGAGGTGTCAAGTAGCTGACCCATAAGCCTGATCATCCAGCCTGCAGACTTTTGCCCCAGTTCTTGCTGCATGGCAGCATTTCCCACCGACGCAGCCAGCATCCCAATAAGAAAACCGATCTCTGGTCACAGTGACTGCTAGCACCTCTAGCGCTGAAGTGACAGCCTGGGGGCACCAGTTGCCACCATGGGAAGCCCCAAATACAAAACTCACTATTAACATAACACACAACAATACATCTCAAGCAACATACCTGACAGTTCATGGCATCATGGCGATAATCCCTTGTGAAAACTCCACATATTACTATTCCATGAGGCAGTGTCTTGGTGAATCGATTATATATAGTTGCCACTACTTGGTTAACAAGGGCCTAGTCATTATTAGTGAAAGCAGGACATTAATAAAGCAAGCAGGAAACATACATCTAAATTTATACAGTACTTGGAGATAAGCAGAGGCTTCGTGTCTTTTGACACCAATATTAATTTAAATTACCAACCAGTGTTATAACACTAAAATTGCACGGTATTTTTTAATTCCATTCACTTTGAAGAAACTTGATGTTGTGTGAACTGGTATGTATAATATTAATTCTGAATTTTATCCTTTTTCTTGGAATACCTAAGATGATGTATCATATTTTATATTATGTGTCATAATTTTCTATCAAGCAGAAGCTCAAATGCAGGCAAAATATTTGTGTAGAATCATTCCTAATTTATGCACATACATGCTTTATTTGCAAATGAAAATGTCATTTAGATCCTTAACCTGAGCAAAATGTGACTGTAAATAAAGTAGGAAAAACTACCTGTATGTTTTACATATGCATCATATATGTATTCCTGTATTTCTGTGTTTTAGTACCCAGAATTATAAGAATGAATACTAATATATAGTTTTGAAAGAAATATAAAAACCCATAAGCTAATAGCTGCCTATTAGATTAAACCTTTATACAAACACTTTTCCCCACATCTATCTAGTATGGAGATTCAGGCATCTTTCTCAAATATCTGGTGCCACTGCTGGACACTAGATATTTGTGTAGATGGGCCAAAAGTTGATCTAGTATGGCACTTCCTATGGTCCTATATTTCTGATACTTTGACCATTTATCTAATATGCTACTTTCATCTTTGACATATTAGCCATTTAGTACTGTCCATTTGGTGAATAATTATTAAAACAAACAACATTTTGTATATCAAATGGGATCCTTAAAAGATCTTTCTAAACCAGGAGTCAGCAACCTCCAGCCTGTGGGCCAGATGCAGCCTGCAACATTTTTTTTCAAGTCCACCAAGCAGGGCCCAGTGCCTGCTTACTGCTCTGCTCTGCCCCAGGACTCTGCCACTGCAGAGCACTGCAGACCCCCAATCCTCACCCACCCCCATCCAGAGACAGTTGCACGATGGGAAGGGACAGAGCACACAGGAAAAAATTGAGTGCATGCCATATACTCACAATATGACAAGCCACAAAATTATACACAAAAATTTAGAATGTTTACTCTGTAAGAATAACATGGTTATGCTGGAGTAAAATAAACAGTCAAAGGTTTCTGTCTTGCATGTTTACATGCACCTGTTCCCAAAATATAAGATAATTCTGCCAAACAGAATAGTTGATCATCTAAGTTTTGTTGAGTCAAGAAAAAAAACTGAAGAGAATCCTATGGTTTTTTGAACAACAGGTAGTTTAAGAGGTGATATGAAAAATACCTCTTAAGCCAACCAAGTATCAAATTCCACCGTGATCTAGTCTGTATGAGTATCTGGAAATTGCTAATTAATAGATGACAAATTAGTGTAAAAATCAATGGGGCTCTTATTAGTTAGTGCACCACAGCAATGTACTATTTAGTGACTAATCAAGCAGAGATCATTATATTAGAAAACAGTGTAGTAAGTATGTAAAATGCACATCATACGTAGCCATACCTTTGTTGGAGAAACATACACAACTACTCCTTCATTACTTTCTTTCAGAACTTTCTCCATGCAATAGTATGATACATAGGTTTTCCCAGATGAAGTAGGAGCAACTATCACTGCAGACTCATTATTGTCCACAACATCAAGAAGTTCTCGCTAAACATAAAGAATGTTTAGGTCAAAACATCTCATATTTTATATGTGGATTTTAGGTTATACAAGTTGTGGCAGAATGCCACCTCTGTCTCTCCCCAAAAACTCTGCTATGTGACAATTTGGTTAACATGGTCACTGTAAAGGGCAGACATCTCATAACCCTGAGTTGTAACCTGAATTGGATACATTCCTGAGGGAGGGGGAAACCTGTTCCCTCTGCCTATGTGACTGGCACCACAAACCGGGGTGAGGGGCTTGGGCTCCCTATTGTTCTGAGCAGTCTGCCCGACAACCAGTGATGCTTTTCAAATTGGTTGGCTGGCAGCCAACAGGTGCTGGTCTCCATTGGACCAGGTAAATGAGGTCATAAGGGCCACATAAGTTAAGGACTGCCCAGGCGGAGGAGCGGTAACCATGATGAAAACTCAGAGAGAGAAGAGCTGGACCATCTGAAACTTGCTCTCTCTCTTGAAACTCATGATCACTGAACTGCCTGCCTCCAGAGGGAATCTCTACCTGCCACTGGATGATACTCATCAGTAAGCTACCTGAGATCTAACTAGATTGTATATAGCTTGCAGTAACTCAGATGCATGATCAAAGGCTACCCAGCCACCCTGTTTGCTCTATGGGATTTCTCTGATATTGCTCTACCCTGTATCCTATTCCAAACCTACTCCTTGTAACCAATAAAGTTCTCCTTTGTACCTAGTGTGGGAGACTTATTGGGAGAGGGGCCAGATTATGCCTTGGGGTCCCCTTGGTTCAGCTGACTAAGGGAGACCACTATTTGTGCTTCAGACTGAGGGAAGTGGTGTGTCTGAAGCACTATTTGTGCTTCAGACAGAGGGAAGCACTCCAAGTTCTTGAAGTTGATTCGAGTACCCTCAAGGACTACTAGGCCTCTGTTTCCCAGGGGGCACAGAGCCACAATCACTCCAGACCCTGGGTGGTGGCAGCACTACCCCAAGGCTAGCGAGTGTGCTCCAGGAAGGGGGTCGGCTAGACATGAGGCACCCCCAAGGACGCAGTCAGAGCCTGGAAGGTGGTTAGGTCTAGTGAGATGGGTGGCTCAGTGCAGGAGCACCCCTTACTGGCCCGCCACACAAGTAATGTTAAGTATACTTATTAAAGTTCTAATATAACAATCTTCACTTTTGGATTCAGCCCGTTTCCCCAGTCTAATTATTACAGGGTAAGAGTGAGAACTACATTAGCTAAGTCAACAGACATTTCTCAGCTAGGCCTCTTTTGTGGCTGAAGTTGCAATCTGGTGACCAAAAGGCTGGCAGTGCCTAAAATGAGACAACTGGCTTGTGGATACGGGGAGACCAGTGGAAGTGGTGTATGTTGATTTTTTAGCAAGCCTTTGAATATGGTCTCCCACAACATTCTTGCAGACAAGCTAAGGAAGTATGGGCTGGATGAATGGACTGTGAAGTGGGCAGAAAACTGGCTGGAGTATCGGGCTCAAAGAGTAGCAATCAAGGGCTCGATGTCTAGTTAGCAGATGGTATCAAGTGGAGTGCCCCAGGGATCGGTCCTGGGGCTGCTTTTGTTCACTGTCTTCATCAACAACCTAGAAGATGGCATAGAGTGCACCCTCAGCAAGTTTACAAATGACACCAAGCTGGTAGGAGTAGTAGATATGCTGGAAGGTAGGGATAGGATTCAGAGTGATGTAGACAAATTGAAGGATTGGGCCAAAAGGAATCTCATGAGTTCAACAAGGACAAGTGCAAAGTCCTGAACTTAGGACAGAACAATCCCATGCACCAGTACAAGCTGGGGGCTGACTGGCTGGGCAGCAGCTCAGCAGGAAAGGACCTGAGGGGTTCAGTGGACAAGGAGCTGAATTTGAGCCAGCAGTGTGCCCTTGTTGCCAAACAAGCTAATAGCATACTGGGCTGCATTGGTAGGTGTGTTGCCAGTAGGTCAAGGGAAGTGATTATTCCCCTCTATTCAGCATTGGTGAGGCCACATGTAGAGTACTGTGTTCAGTTTTGGGTCCCACACTACAGAAAGGATGTGGACAAATTGGAGAGAGTCCAGCAGAGGGCAACAAAAATGATGAGGGGGGCTGATACAGAAGAGGAAAGTGAGAGGGGACTTAACAGTAACATTCAGCTACTTCAAGGTGGGTTCAAAAAAGGATGGAGCTAGATTGTTCTCAGTGGTAGCAGATGATAGAAAAAGGAAAAATGGTCTCAAGCTGCAACACAGGAAGTTTAGGTTAGATATTAGGAGAAATTTTCACACTAGGAGGGTGGTAAAACAGTGGAACAGGTTACTCAGAGAGGTGGTGGAAGCTCCATCCTTGGAGGTTTTCAAAACCTGGCTAGACAAAGCTTTGGCTGGGATGATCTAGGTGAGGATGGTCATGCTTTGAGCAGGGAGTTGAACTAGATGACCTCCTAAGGTCCCTTCCAACCCTAACTTTCTATGATTCTATGATAAAGCAGTTTGGGTCAATTTTTTCCTAAACACAGGGGAATAGGGAATAGTAGACAATCAAGCAGGTACTTCTCCAGGCTAGAGATTTTCTCCATAAAAACTAGTAATTTCCAGTGAAAACCCTGAGATTGGGCAGGTTTTTGTCCTGAACTCCTATGTCCAGTGGAAGTTTTATGGACATAAGGATAATAAGATTGTGTCTTGGACAAATCAATGAAATGGCAACTTTTAAAAAGCCCTTATGCACATTATTGATATTACAATGATATGAAGTATTTACACTGAATGTAATTAAACTATTACTCTCTACCCTCATATAACAAAAATAGCTAGCATTTTATTAGCATATTCCTCTTAATTAATAAGTATCTTTAAAATTATATTCAGATTATGCGTAAGTACATCATATTATTATTACTATTATTATAATTATCTGTGAGGGATGCCATAATTGTGCTTCCTACTTGACAAACAGAAATAACAGGTTAATCCCCTGAGCAAAGTACTTCTAAGGGCCAAATCTCACATAACTCTCTGCTGGCCTGACCGCCTATTTCCATACAAAGTTTCACTTCCTTCAACAGAACATTGCTACTGTGTCTTCAGAAGGAGAGGCTACTGTCTTGGACCCTTGATGCTAACCTGTCTCAGGCAAGAGTGGGACCTAGAGTAGGTATAATGCATAAAAGAATGGAAGAATAAAGAATAGAAAGGGATAAATGAAAGGATATGACCTACAATAGTGACAGAGAATGAAATATGCTTTTTGTTATTCTTGAATCTCGTTCATTGTAAAATTTGAAAGAAAATCTTAACAAATAATTTGTAGCAGCAGTATATAAAAACTGTCAATGTGTCATTACCTGCCATGTGTCTGGTATAAAATTGTGTACTCTGGGATCTGGATCACGCCTCTCATCTCTGAACAAGAAAGAACCCATATATTGTAATTGAAAACGAGCTGCTCCTACTTCAGTAGCGTATTTGGCAATTTTCTCATTATTTCTTTCTGTGATCTAAAAGGTCAAATTAAAATTCAAGTCAGTTTCAAAACTGGAGACAGATGTGCTGCAAACAAGGATGAGATATTTCTCAACTATGAAACATGGTGCAAGTTTCCCAAACAAATCTGTTGAGCATAAAAGAACTCAGAAGACTTTGAGCACTTGTATTCACAAGCCTATACAGCAAGTACAGTCTTGACCAATGAATGAACTCAGATATCCATGGGAATACTACATGCAGAGTGCACAATGTGACCTCAAATTCTGAATGTATCTGGTGCATGCATTTATAAGCAAGGTCTGTGTATTTCATGGTAAGCTGATTACAAATTTCATTGCTAAGTCTGTTAATTCTAGTGTGGCAGCTTCATCTAAATAGTAAAAAATAGTTATTAGCCAACAATAACTATGTTTTGCAGGTTTTTTCCCCAAGATACATTGTCCATATCAATTGCCATTGGGATGCCCAGTCACATAATGGATTCTTCTGAAGAGCAATATTAGCAGATGCCAATCCTGTGTCCTGACAGCCTTCATGACCACCACAGTTGAGAGTGGAGCAGATTCACCTGCCTCTCAGTTCCATTACCGAAAAAACTCCCAATGAAAAGAACTCTACATTTTTCAAGTAGCACTGACTCAGGGTGGACCATGGAATTGCATGGACAACATGCCTCGATGAAACACAGTCACTGTAAAGCAGGGGTGTCAAAGATCTGGCCCATATCCGGCCTTAAAGAGTCATATAAATTGGCCCCTGGTGATGCCCCTGGGTCAGGAGTTGACTCATGTAAAGTGCACCAAACCAACCCCATGCACAAGGCCTGGGACATGTGCCATACATGGTGCCTGCTCCAGCCAGCCTGGGACATGTGCAGCATGCAGAGCCTGCCACAATTGGTCCAGAATGCATGATCCAGGCATGGCACTAGCTCCAGCCAGTCCAAGACCCATGCTGCACATAGTGCCCCTGTCCTCCCAGCTACTCTGGGGTTCCATGTGTGGCACACTTCTGGACTGGCTAGAGTGAGCGCCATGTGCGCTGGATCCAGCATGTGGAGAGGCAGGGGTCCATGGGCCCAATCCAGCCCACAAGGCTGACCACATTCTATTCAAATGGCCTATAGGGCCAGATAAGTTGGTGAGTTTGACGCACCTGCTGTAAAGTAGGTAACATTTTTCTACTTTGAGTGATTTCTCCTCAGTAATTAGTAAGTGTATTTTCCCCTACTGACCAGTAAGATTTCTGATTTCATATTTACAGATGTCCCCTTAGGCTAGGGACAGAAATTCAAAAAGCCTGAGCCTGAATTGATTCAACCTTTGCAGGTTAATTTAACTTGGCCAAGCTGAACTGTTTTCTAAGCATACAGACATTCCCCCTGGACTGAGGAAATTCAGGAAGATGCCTGCAGTGGCTCAGGCTGGAAGCTGGAGGGCACTACAGCAGCCTTCCCTGAAAGCCGGGGGGTGGGGGGGATGATAATAGTGTCACCCCTATCTCAGTGTTTATCACCCCATTAAGAAAACAGAGGGACATTACCAGCTACCTGTTGATTCTGTCTGTTGATTCAGCATGGACCCAGCATGTGGTCTGCTAGCTAATACACAGATACCTTCTCCGCAAGGCAGAGGGGAGGGGGGAATTTCTGCTTAGCAGGGAGTGGTGAGGGGAAGTGGGGGAACGGACAGCTCTTAAACAGCTTTTCCAAGGAAGGACATTAAGCTACCTGTTGAATAGATCCAAAAAGCCTGCCTGCCTCAGTCTCTCCCTCAGCACAAACTGTAGCCAGTGTGTGGTCTGCTAGCCAATGCTGAGGTGTCTGTGAGGGATGGGGGAATACTTGCTTAGCACAGAGTGGGGAAGGGAGAAGGGGAGCAGAAGAGGGACTCTGGTTTATCTTAAACCATCAAGGGGTCTGGGACAGATATTGCATAAACTGGTTTAAGCCAGATCAGTTGAGTCTGATACTACATTCAACTAGGTTTATCTCAAACCAGTTTCAGCCATTTTCAAACTGGTTTATGTGCACTGAACATCTGTTCTCTTACAGGTTTAAACCAGTTTCTGATCACTTAAATTGGTTTATGTGTAATGTTTATCCCTAGCCTTAGTAACTAATAAGCAGTTTTACATTCTTGGAAGTGGGTGCATATGTCCTATTTGAATCCTGATTAAAGGAAAACCCAACTGCATTTTAGGATGTCTAGAGGCCTACATCAGGTTACAGTAGGCAAAAGTATGGACTTAACACCATATTGTTGCAGTGCATATCTTATTCAATGGAATGTCATCCAAAGAGAGAAGGGAAGCCTCCCAGGCTCAAGCTAATTGATATTTCATGCATCATAGGGAGCTTTTTTGCTAATATAAGTCAGGATTATATGCAGTTTGAAAACTCATTGCACAGTCTCAAGTTATACAGATTCCCCAGGACCAGTCTTCAAGATTATCAGTTTTCCTTGCTTTTATTTGCAAATGCAACACTTTCAATGAAGCTCTAACTGATCTGATTTTGTCCCAAGAAAAGATAATGCTCAAACTGCAATACAGAAAATTAGGGTTGGAAGGGAACTCAGGAGGTCATTTAGCGCAACCCCCTGCTCAAAGCAGGACCATTCCCAACTAGATCATGCCAACCAAGGCTTTGTCTAGCTGGGTCTTAAAAACCTCCAAGGATGGAGTCCCCAACCTCTCTTGGTAACCTGTTCCAGTGTTTTACTACCCCCCAGTGAGAAAATGCTTCATCATATCTAACCTAAACTTCCCTTGAAACAACTTAAGATTGTTGCTCCTTGTTCTGTCATCTGCCACCACTGAGAACAGTCTATCTCCATCCTCTTTCAAACCCCACTTTAGGTAGTTGAAGGCTGCTATTAAATCCCCTTCTCTTTTCCAGACTAAATAAGCCCAGTTCCCTCAGCCTCTTCTCATAAGCCCTGGCACCTAAACCATTGAGCTCCAGCTCCTGTTGATGAAGATATTGAACAAAACCAACCCCTGGGGCACTCCACTTGATACTGGATGCCAACTAGACATCAAGCCATTTATTACTACCCTCTGAGTCCAATGCTTCAGCCAGTTTTCTATCAGCCCAGTCCATTCTTCCAGCCCATACTTCCTAAGCACCTTTGGCACTTTTCCCCATTTTCTCATCATTTACACTAGGGCCAGGCAAAACACGGTCCACAGGCCACATCCGACCCACCAAGCACTTTCATTTGGCCCACAGCACTCACCAGTGAATTCTGCCCCACTCAGCCCTTTCACCCACAAGGATATATATGGGTATATACGGCTCGTTTTCAACCTGGAGGGACATGGGCAGTGGGGTCCCCCAGGGCTCAGTCCTCGGGCCTGCACTGTTCAATATCTTAACCAGCAACTTGGATGAGGGGGTGAAAAGCACCTTGTTCAAGTTCACAGATGACACTAAGATGTGGGGAGAAGTGAGCACGCTAGAAGAGAGGGACAGGCT